TAAGGGGAGCAGCTGGAACCTGCTGGAGAATTCTCCCTTTGTTGAAGAAAAATCAAGAGCGGAGGAGCCTTCTGGGAATCATTCTCCGCCTTTTTACTGCTTCTCCCCTTGCTTCCTCCACGCAGACTTGATTCGCAAGTCCAGCCGATCCTGTTAACAAGCGGCTCCCGAGTTTTTGTTTGGAATAAGCACTTTATGGACAGTTTCTAGGGGCACAGGGGGGATCAATATAGAAGTACTCACTACCAGCTAGTGTGTGGCTTTCAGCGTGTGATTTTTGGCTGTTGAGGGCTCCAGTCACGAGACCCGCAGAGCAGCAGTGCAGGAGGATGCAGGGGGAAGCGGAGGCTCCTCGGTCTCTCCTTGCTGCTCCAAGGCTGTTCCTGCCTTCCCCACCTGCACCTTCCTGCTGCCTCCAGCTGGAGCAGAGCTTCGGGCCCCATGTCCTCCTCTTGCAGCCGCTCCTTGGCCACCCGTGGTCCTGCAGTGGGGAGAGAGGCCGGCARGAAGGCGGCAAGAGAGTTTTCAGCGCTGAAGTCAGCCCAGAGCCTGGGCAAGGGTTTTCATTACTATTTGAGCACAAGGAGACTGAGAAGTGCAGCTTCAACCGAGCTGATTTTAAAGAAGCCACACAAAGGCTTCCCCAGCCACGGAAACAGTGCAGTCATTTCCATTTGTGGAATGGCCAGAAGCTCAGCACTTTGGTGTCACAAACCTGCCTTCCTGAGCTGCGRGACTGCTCGGGCCTCGTCCCCAACACCCCGCTCTGGGGTAGCAACTGCTGATCAGGGAAGGGGAACACGGCAGCCACCCGTAAGAGCACGAGAGAGAGAGGCAAAAACGGCTCTGTGGGTTTCCTGCTCTGCGTGGGGCCTAATGCAAAGGAAGTCACTCGGGTAATGGTTTCTTCTGGATGACCACAAGTCATGCACCAGGGTTTCAAGCCCAAGCAGTCTCAATGTTATCTGGAAAAAGATGGAAAAGCTTCTTTCCCGCAACGCCCAACGTGGTGGCAAAACACAGCCCTTCTCCCCACCTTGCTGGACACCYGCTGCATGGGGGAGCAAAACGTCCGTGGCTGCCGAAAACCTGTCCGTGCAATCGGAGTCATCTCGGAGAGCCGGGAGTCCCGGAGCGCAGGCACGCGGTGCTGCGGCTCTGCGCGGGAAGGCGGAGGGCGGCGAGGCCTGGAAGGGCCCGAGGGACAGCTCAGGAGCACAGCACGGCCAACAGCCAACAGCAGGACACAGCTCCCGGGCGGATAYACAGGTAAAGCGCGGGATATCAGCGGGGAGGATTATTTTTTATTTAACAATTTAATTCAAGGTTTATTTGTTCCCTCCACCGATACTGATGCAAACCCATTCCAGTTCAGAAGCTGCCACRTAGGGAGAGAGGAAATAACACAGTCTGGCTCTCCTGGCACGTGAGCAGCAGAGCTCCTCGCGTGGCTCGGAAGGGAGGCCGGCGGCAGCAAGTGCTTTCCCTCTGCTGACACAGGGCTCCCCAGTACCTGTGCAACCCCTTCCTCTCCCTGGCTCGGCCCTGCTGCCGGGACCTCGGAGCTGCACCACGCTCTGCAGGGCCAGCCCCACGCTGGGCTCTTACTGCGCCCCTCATTTCTGTGCAGGCAAAGACAGAGGCAAAGCCCTGCAGGGGCTCCGGGCGCACCCTCAATCCGAGCCCGTGTGGCTCCTGTGGATTGGAGGGGAGCGGGGCACTCCCCTCTGTGAACTGCAGCCAGCAGGGTGGGCTCTTCTCCAGTGTTTGTCCACAAGGACCCCGCTGGGGCATGAACACGCGTCCACCTCAGCGACAGGCGCTCTGTTGACGGGCTCACTGCTATGTACAGGTAGACCCAGGCTCCTGCCTCTCCGAGACCTGTCCTCTCCTGGGAACCAAGACCTTCTCCATCACTCCACTCATGGAGCGTGGATGAGCTCTCCAGGGAGGCCCAGGGCAGCACCCAGTGGCCATGGTGCTTCCCAGGAGCGTGTCCCTCACCACCATCTATGCTGGGGTACAGAAGCTGGGCCAGGAAATTAAGCACACTAGTGAGCTTRGTATTTTTGCTGCTTTACCCCTTCAAGGTGTGAAAGCAGGACGTGATCACGGCCTTCAGAGGAAAACAGCCTTGATGTGCCGAGGCGCAAGCAGGAGGCAGCCACAAAGATACACACCCGTGAGGCCTGAATTAAGGCCCAGCTAAAGAGCGAGGAGCAGCAGCCCTCTAAGTGTCTCCCAGGCCTCTCCTTGGTCACTGTGGCTTGTCTGGTAGGTGCAAGGCCCCGGAGAGGCTCTCTGGGGGCACRAGCAGGGACAGGGTGAACCCAGGGGGCTGCCAGGCAGAGCTGCCGCCCGGTGCCTGCCCAGGGAGATCCCCCCTTGCTCACCTGGGGCTTCTGGCAGCAACGAGCACGG